TCCACATATGGCCTGCATGATGTTCAGCAATGACACCATTTCATTTCATGAAGGAATTCTTGGTCAAGTTGTTCTATTGGTTTGAAAATGTAAAAAACTAGGATGATCTACAAACAAATTTCCTCGTCAAAAGGCTAAATCAAAGCCAATTTCTGCTTTTTTATGTTAACAGCAGGCTACACTTTTGTCTTTTCACAGATAAAACAAAAAATCTGCTTTCCAGCAGAAGACCAGCAAATATCAAATAATTTGAAATAAGATGACAAAGCACCAGTCAGCACTGACAAGTACTTTTTATTCTTGATGCACACAAGTTAGAAAAACCCACTTTAGTTAGAAATAGCTTAGTAGAAGTATAATTTAATATTTAAAATAGACCCATCGACTTATTTACATCAGGGCTCCAACACCTTTAACATTTCCATCCAACTAGTGAGCTCCTTTTTAGAATATGTACAGTTTATACATTCCTCTAACACAGAGCACCATTTCTCTTATCCACACTTTAAACTACAAAAGACAAAAGAACATGATTTTCCAATGAGTCAAATGCATTGATCCAAGAAATTCAGGAATCAGCTACCAGGAAATAGCTGTTTGACTAAACACACATATTTGAAGTCAGAGCAAAAATTAAAAAAACTTAATATCGGAAACTATGAAAAAGAAAGCTGGGTGACGACCCAAGTTTTTCTTGACACCATGAGTATTGAGAAAGATTGCAACGAATCTGAAAAAATAAAAGACGCCTTTCTGTTAGACCAATCATATTACAACTAATGTGGGCAGCCTGAAATGGAAGGGTATGGAGTTTTTTAAAAACTAATATCTATATTTTAAGAAATAGCTCTCTAGTTTTAGAGATGCCTACTGGTTGAAGGGAGAAAAATAAATGGGTAACAATGTGTTATGCTTCTTTTTTTTTGTCCTAAGTGAATGTAGTCCATCTATAGCGTGACCTTGGTAACAGAAAAGAAACACATTTTCCAGCTGCGTCCAAGCATTTCTACCCGGTTGGCACCAACTGCTTGGCACTCTATACAAAGACGGCAAATAGAGTGGATCTGTGGCATAAACAAGCCAGTGGGTGGAAACATAAACATTTGAGATTGCCCACTTTTTTCAGTGTTCACACATCTCAGAGCATTTATAGCAACAAAAATCGCCGTGATGTCTCTCGCAGATCTGTTCTACATCCCAGTCACCCAGCTTGTGTTCATATATCCAGCTCCATGTCTCCCTTTCTTGTCTCCGCGTCCACCCTCTTTACTTTGGACTACTTATTCCCTTATTATTTTCTGGCTTGATTCCCAAGGCAGATGGTCCTTACAAGCAGATGCTCCCCACCCAATCCACATGAAGGAACAAACAAAGGCTGGAAGCAAAGCAAACAAAATCTGCTTCCCAGCAGAAGACCAGCAAGTATCAAAGAAACACTTTGAAATAAGATGACAAAGCATCTTTAGTGTAAAATGGACAAGATTAACAACAGAAAAGAGAATTATCAATGAAAATACATTGAAATGATACAAAAAGTGTAGTGACCATTTGTATTAGGCCCCCTTTATTGTGTTACAACAAATCCACTGCAGCCAATTTCCTTCAAAAGTCCTTTAATTAGTCAGCAGCCGAAAGTTCACCTGTGTGTAATTAAGGTTTATGAAAACATGAATGGAAAAGACACGGGACAGAGGCAGAGGTCCACCATTCAACAGGATAACTACCATAAATAAAGCAAAACCTGGTGCCCATCTCCAGCAACCATCAGGTGAGACCCAGGCTTCACTCTGGACAGGTCACCAATTAATCGCAGGGCAACACAGAGACACAAAGAACTGAACTATGAACACAGACAATTTAAAGAGATCAATTAACCTTGGTCATGTTTTCTGAACTGCTGGAGGAAGACGGAGTACATGGAGAGAACCCATGGATGCATAAGGAGAACCTACAAACTCCATCCAGAAAGACCGTTCAAAACCAAGACCTTCTTGCCAACTGCACCACTGTGCAGCTCAGTTTGCCAACACAAACTTTTCAATTAAAGGACATTAAAGCTACAAGTCAAGCAAAAAAAGGAAATATTTATGTGTAAAGAAAGTCACTGATGACAGTTTGCCATGAAAGGCAGAATGAAAAGAAAGGGAAACGAATGCAAAGATGTTACGGAAGTTACGATAACGATTTAAAAGAGTGTCAATGTAAAGAACTGTTGCACTAAGGAAGCAGCTGTTAGGAACAAACCTCATGGCTCAGTAGATCAACAATAATCTTAATAGGTGGTTGTAAAGCATAAAACAAATTCTCCGATTACACCATGTGGGACTTAGTGAAGAGTAAATGGTAAGGAACTGAGGAATCACAATGATTTAGAAAAGAAAATGCAAACATCTGCTCATGTTTTTAAACCCTAAGTTTGCAGTGCTCATGATATTCCTCCCCACCTAAATTATAAGAAACGAAAATAGAATAAAGCAAAAAGCAATGTAGACCATACTACTGGAGGCAAACTTTGTAATAATGACTACACATATTCAAGTGGGGAAAAAAAGCTTGGATATTCATAAATTCACCCAAAATATATTTAACCACAACAAACGACAAAACATCTTCATTTCCTCCAACTGTGTGATCCTACTTGTGCACATTTACAGTCTGGATTGTTTATCCCTTCATGACTAATGCATTCGTTTGTAGAGCTTTACTCCTTAACGGCACTTAGATCTGTGCATGCAATGAGCATTGTTTCTCATTTTTACAACATGTATGGAAATTGCTGGTAACGAGAACACACCATTTTCCTAATAATGACTCTGAAAAAGACCTAAGAGCACAAAATAAATGTCAAATCGGGTACAAATGCAGAATCTGTAATTCTTATCTTTAACACGAGATAATGAGAAGTCAGTTAGGTGAGCAAATAAACATTTTCCTGAGTCAGGCATAATGGGTAGTTAACTACCTTCTGGCTTATGTGAAACAATTGAGGAGCCTGAGGGGAAGCTATGGACTCTAACCGAGCCATCATTTTTCTGAATGAAAGCCAAAGTACTGCAGAGAGGGGAAACCATCAGAGAATTAATGCAAATTATGTGTGCACATATTCAGAAAAAGTACTTTAAAACTCGTTTATATCCAAATAATTTGCTGAGATTAGAAGACAGTCAAATTATATAAAACATAATGTTAAAATATGAAACTAGGATGTTTTATATGACATAGTATGTCATTATTGAGTTGCAATAGCAAATAAATATGAAACAAACAACATTCTTTTGCCGTTTAGCGTTGCTTTCGATTATCGTAGAGAACCACAGTAGTTTTAATATTAAAGCTGAATTTTACCCAAAAAGAATGGGTTCTGCTGCTGTGCCGTTTTTTTTTTTTTTTTTTTTTTACATTAATGAGTTTCTGGGACACTGTGGACCCATCTCTGCATTTTATTATGCAAACAAAAGAAAATGCAGACACAGAGATGTTGTTTATGAAGCTATGTAAATAAACAGACCCAGTTCTGTCACTTGATTGTGAACTAAAATGAGGCTTTATGAGGATTATAATTTCTTCTAATTCACAATTTTCATTTACGTTTCTATTTCTACTCATATTCCACTTTACTTAAACGCGTTCCCTCAATAAAAACTTCAAGATGTCTCTTAAATACAAAGGAACCAAACGTCATTTGTACACACCTGAGATATTAATTACAGCAAAACTACAACTGTCATATGATTAGTTGTATTTTTGAAGTAGGATTTTGTGGGGTAGTTACTAGCAGTCAGTGTCCTACCTGCAGCAGATCACGGCCTGAGCACCTTAGTTTATATCAGGGGTCTCAAACTCCAGTACTCAAGGGCAGCTGCCCTGCAGCTTCTAGATGTGCCACAGGTACCAAACACTGGAATGAACTGGTTTAATTACCTCCTCCTTGTGTAGATCAGTTCTCTGTTGCTAATGACCTAATTATTCTATTCAGGTGTGGTGCAGCAGAGGCACATCTAAAAGTTGCAGAACAGTAGCCCTAGAGGACTGGAGTTTGAGACCCCTGGTTTAAATAAACAGACATAAATACTTTTTTTCTGTTGTAAAATAAGCAACTGGATCATGCATCAGTGCTACGGCACGATAAAAAATACATCTGTAGTATTCTTCCATGAGTTATAACAAAAATACTAAAGTACTACAGCCTATGGTTTCATACAACATAAAAAGGTTGTATGACAGCTTGTAGAATAGAAATATAGGATATGTCTATTCTATTTACAAGAAATACAGGAATTAAGATTTCAATAGATTTTTAACCCATTAAGATTCATCTATAAGACCAAATATGGGTCTACTTAACAGACACATACCATAATATCCTATTTAAGCATATAATTATGTGAAAAATATTGTTGTGTAAGCACACTGAGTGTTAGCTTATGTGTGTTGGTGAACCATTATGGCTCCTCCAATCAAGCTGCTCATATTGTTGGCGCGTCATCTCCTGATTAACGTTATTACTTACACCTGTGTCCTCCCCTCTTCAACCCAACTCCCAACGAGTTTTTTTTTTTTAAAGTCAGTTCATGAAGCTTCATAAATTTAACATGCGTCATTGCCTATTTATTTCTGCAGAGAAGGCAAAAGTCCAGACATGACAGAAACTTATTGAAAAAAGAAAATAAACCGAAATTTAGGAAGCAAACCTGAGCAAAACATAAAACAAATAGGTCAATTCAACATTGCCTGTCAGAAAATAAAAGAAAGTTAACTGATATTATTAACATGTAAATGAGTTTATAAATTCCAATTCTTTAAAAAATAAATTGGCGAAAAAAAAAAAAAAACTTTCCCACAATGAATCTTCTTACACGAGGCAATATTAAAGTGACTGGTGTCTGACAGGCGTTTATGTCAAACCAGCTGCATGCCTAGAGCCAGCAGACGGATAATAAATTAATAAATAATATTCACAACAATGGCAAAGAGGCTAAAACATGCCACATCTGTCCTACCAGTTGATGAAACCGCAGCATCCACGCGGGCAGAAACTGTCACCACTCTCTTTGCATCCATTCCAGAGAGGAGAGGAACTGGCTCCAGTCTTAAATGTTTTGTTTCTAAGCCACGGGAGCTTTAACCAAGCTGAAAGTGAGGGAGCGGATGAGAGACGAGGACTTGCTGCTCGTTCTTAACTCAAGTTTCGTTGAGGGGCGCAGGTTTGTGCACGCGGTTCTCTCAGACACGAGCGAGAGCAGGCAGGCGCGTACACCGGAAGGTGATGACGTTGACGTTGGTCGGACCGTAGATTCGCGTTCTTAGTCAACTGTGAGGTGGAAACGTCGTAAAACCATTTTTAACCTCAAGTTACAGGCGCAAGAGAAGTATGTCTACCAGCTCTCGACATCTAGAAACTAAAAAGTTCCTAATTTGCAAGATAGATGAAGCTCAGTCTCGTATGAAGACGTCGATTTTCAAGCATTGACTATTAACTCATGAATAAGAGGGTTCAAAGTGTGGGTCGTGAACCATTTGTAGCTCCTGAACTGATTCTCCTGGGTCCAGTTCCAAAATGACACAAATTTGACCCACCAGCACAAATTGATCCAGATGGAAGCTTTTAATATTTTCCATAATGGAAAAGTATTTGTGTTTTTATAGCCAAGTGTTTATTGTAAGTAGCTCCACATATCCACAAAACTTCACTCAAAAGCAGACTTCAGTCCACCCAAATCTACCTTTTATTAAAGCATTCTTAAATAGTTATCAAAATTCTGTAACTATTGTTATGAAAAGGCTAAATTTGTTGCTATTTCACCCTCACACTCAATAAATTATGGATAAAAAAAAACAAAAAAACAATTTTTTGATCTGTGAGTGCTTTGCTTGACAACCTTGGCACCTGTGACAAAAGTTTTGGACAGTTCCAGATTTTGCCACATTGACCAAAATCATCCAAGTACTGGCTGGAATGTCAGACATGTTTGTCTTAAAATAAATAAAATCTAAACTTTTTGGGTCCCCTGTTCTCAATTTTCTTAGTCTTGGGTCATTATTTAGTCAATTATAAGAACTGACACAGGTCACATCTTTTTTTTCCCAAACCCCCAACATCTGACAAATCTTTAGAAGCCCTTTCGAGATACCACTAGTTTCGAGGGTTATGTAATTCTGCACCAAACAATTCCTCTGTGTGCCGCCTATCGAAGAGGGGATTCTGCATAACAGTTGCTACAGGTCATGCACAGTCAGTGCTTAGTAATCTCACTTGCTGTTGTTTTTTTTTCTTGTATACACACACACACACACACACACACACACACACACACACAGTGTTATAAGTAACAAATTACATAAGTTGATGGAAAGAAGACTTAACATCTGCTCGAAACAGCACAGAATAAAACGTTACTATAGGAAGATGAGCCTGGCATGCTTCTTGGTAAATCAGCTGTTCTAATGATCAAAATGTTTTTCATGAACACTTCACATATCCGTCTTGGCAGCCAAAAACAGCAAATGCAAATGATCGTCTAGCTCCGTCTCCCCAGAGTACCACAGAACAAGAGAGGTTTCCGTCAGACGGTAATACTTACTCTTTTCAATTAAACACACGCAGACGGATTTGGACAAACGGGAAGCTGTTTATTCAGCAGATCGGACTGGAAATGGCTGACGTTTCTAAAATAAAATCATAAAACTGTAGCCTCATCTTTGTTCTGGCCTTGATGTGCCTTTCAGCCTCTGAAAGTAATTTTTAGACATTTATTTCTGGAATATGCTCTCCCATATGCAGGTAAGAGAATGTGAAGTGTGCCTCTAGAACTCATTTGCTTCATATAATCAGGCGAGTAAAGAAGCATCTTTATTTGCAGACCAATACATTTGGCGATTTGTAATTACCTTGATGAAAAAAAAACACAAAACCAAAGATGATCTGCAAATAAATAAAGCTCTCGTTGCTGGAATCTTTGACCCTTTGGTGTTAAAGAAGGCCATGAAGTGACTTTTTTTTTCTCTCTTTTTTTTTTTTTACACTTAAGATAAAACATTTCAGATGAGGAGACCTAATTTAAAGAGACAGCTTTCAGTTTATTGAATATGTGTCGATGAGAAAGGGATATTATTGTCTGCAGCCGTCACCCGTGTTTCTGTTGAGATGGCTATAAATATCTGAGCACCTGGACAGAAAAATGAAGCCAAACATCTCCAGACAGACTGGCACAGGTAGAATAATGGCAATAGAAGGACATTAATGAGGACACATGGAGATGAGAGATTAGCAGATGGCTTCATGTCATAATTTCAAGGCTGCATGTGTGTGTGCGTGTGTATTTGGGTTACACTTGCACTTGAAAGTGAACTTTAATGCAATAAAAACAGCTCACCTATTTAGGTCAAGTGAAAATTTTGGAGACTATTTTTGTAGCGAAGTGCTTCTTTTAGCCGTCTCACTGTAAACAATTTGCATTTAAAATGTCCTGGACTTCACAAGCATAATTTTGATCTAATGACCGTACCAGAAGCAGAACCCCCTCCTGCGAGATCACCAAATGAGCATCTATTCCCGTCCTCAGCTGTGACGGCGTCCTAAGTTTAATCATGATGTATTTAGGCTTGCACAAGGTCTCTGCAGTGCATTTAATGAGGAGATGGCGCCGATATTAGCACGGATAACTTTGATTCATCACAGAGCACAGATAGAATAGGAACCCAAAGTGGCTTTATGAAAAGTTTTCGGGGGAAAAAAATAAATAAATAAGTTCCGGCATTAGATTGGAGGAAAGGCCATGATAAGGTGATTTTACGGTCAGGCATGACGGATGATCGGAGGAGACGCGATTTACAACCGAAGCCTGGAAGATTCCATTACTCAACGTGGCACTTAAAGACAGCTTTCCTGCTAATAAGTCCTTCTGACGAATTAATCAGCCTGAATGGAATCAGACAAGACGGTTAAGGCATTAATCTCATAAGAGCTCACAGCTGAGAGCGATCATAGAAGCCATTTGTACTGTCGTAATGCAGGGAACGTCCTCCGCAAGTAAAGTCAAGGTAAAAAGAAAGCACGCCGATTCATTTCTAAGGTTTTTACATATCAAGGCATAAACTACCAGGTTCTAAAATGATTCAATTCTAACTTGATTTAGTTTTGTCGGAGGAGATGCGACAAAATTAAATTTGGTCGCCCATTAGTCTGCGAGGGGTTTGATTGTTTGAAGTCCATCAATCTGCAGTGAGAGGGATTATTGACAAGCATGAAACATTAAATCGACATTGATCGGAAATCATTGTGAAGGTGGACTGGCCAAAGGAACTGCAAAACAGCAAACAAACTACCTCTCCGTAGTGGTGGTGGTGGGGTAGTGATGTGGGATCATTTTTGCAGTCATTAAGTCGAACACAAGCTCCAAACTTGGTTGAATCTGGATCATGCAATTAGTGAAAATACAGAACAACAAAAAGAGAACAAAAAAAATCATCAACACTTTTGGTTTATAGCTGCTAATGGTGTTTTTCCCCTATAAGAAAGTGAATCACAAAGACGGTGTGATGAGGTTAGATTAAAATGTTTTTTTTAGAATCAGTTTAAAGCCAGATAACCTTCCACATAGGTAAAGTCAGATTTAAGAGATGTACTTTCATTATGGTTAAAGGTTTTTCTTTATCCCACGCATCCGCCTATGAAATTCAACAAACAACTTTTGAGAAGCACCTTTGACACAAACACAATAGAGTATGAGCTGGGAAATGTCCATTTCTGAATAACTTGATTCCATTACATTCTCCTTGGCGCCACCATTAGAAAAATAACTTAGAAACAATGTTACTCTCTGAATGCTCGAATATATTTGGTCATTTCTCCTGGGTCCATTTCTGGAGAAAACCAAAAGCAGCTTTTCACCACAAACACCTCACATGCACTGTCGAACACAAACCGGGACGATTCTGAATTATCCATCTCTGAAAAATGAAGCACGCTTATTTCCCACTTTAAATGCTTCCACCCCTTCATGAGGAAGACATTAGTGTGAAAAATTGTATTTCACAATGTTTTCCTCCCTACTTGAAGGCATACAAATCCAGTTTGAAGTCGGATATTACCACGCGTTTTAAGTCTTGTGGTTAAATGTTTGAAAAAGCCTTTGCCTAATTTGCAAATAAACCCTCCCCGTCTGAAAACTCACCAATTATCTCAGCAGACGGTCGCTTAAAAGTCCGCAAACACTGAAAGCTAATTAAAAGCTTTACTCCATATGTCAGTTCTGTGAGCTCTACTTTCTCTCCCTCGTTAACACAGATGAAACTAAAAATAGCGGGTATGTCCTGGAGACATAGAGCTCCCCACAGTTACAATCTGCAGCGTGAGATTCATGTTCTTCCTTGCAGAAGTTTATTTCTACATCAAAGACACATGTTGCCTCCAGACATCATGACCAGAATGCAGGTAACTGTATTCATCTCAGTGCCTTAAAAAAAAAAAAAAAGTACAAGTTTGTTGAAATTTAACTTCTTCACAAACCAATTTTCCCCACTAATCCCAGAATTCCAAGTGATTATTTTATCAGATGATCTCAACAAGGTCTTTCACTACTTTTTGGCACAAAAGCCTCCAGGTTGTCATGGCCTCTTTACTGTCAAGCTTCGGACAAACGCAACAGATGGTGGAGCGTCAGACTCCTGGCGATAATTTGAAGAGCGCTCCTCGATGCCCAGAGGGAATCAACGAGGCCGTCACTAACCAAGGCGTCAACAGCGCTTTCCATAATTCACAAGTCTTATTATGGCGTGTCGCGTCCAGGATGGCTGGGCGATAAATCTTTGCCAGGGTGAAATATGTGTTTTATTAATATGTCGTCGATGAAAAATTGAAGCTACAGGAGCCGTGACGTGTTTGCGCGTACGCTGTGAGTAAAATCAACAGATGAAGATCATCAGCCTGACCTTTGACTCTTGGGCTAGGAGGCTGATGAGAATTTGGTCAAAAGTAAGAATATGTCTAGACTTTTAGGGAGTCTTTTAGATCTAGTCAAGTTTTTCCGACAAGGTGGAAGTCATCTTTGGGTGATCTATCAGCCGAGAAATTAGTATTTCTTTCAAGAACTAAAGACATTAAGGAATTTTGGCAGTTCTGTTTTCTTTACGCCGATATGTTCAGTCCTGGACAATGTCTCTCACCCTCCCATGCAAGAAGCTGTTGCAGAACTGTTACATCCTATGTGCACAAAGCAGCATAATCAAAGATCCCTCCTCCCAGCTGCTGCTAGGATCACCACTGCTCACAACTTAACTCTTCACATATCTGCTGTTATTTGCAGTGTTTTCCCCCATTTTTTCTAGTCTTTCGGTTTTTAAGCACAAATATACATATAAACATTTTGCATGTTTTTCTAAATGGTCCTACTCATCCTGGTCTTATATTGTGCATCTGCCCTTACTCTTATTGATATTTTTGCCTTCATGTGAATCTTCCATTTGCCTGGTACCTGAACTTTCCCCACTAATGGACAATAAAGACTATATCTTGATTTTCTTCTATTCTATATAATTTCCACAACAGAACGGCGCAGTAAAGAATGTTTTGAC